CACCACCTCCAACCGCTGCGAATTCGCTGCTCGTGCAGGTCGATTCACCTTGGACCTGACGCCCCCGGTGATCACGGTGGTATCCATTGCCTCCATGAGCGAGAACACGCCTCTAGACTGCCAGGTGGGTGACGAGTTCATGGACTGAGAAGTGAAGACGTGACGTTTTTTAGTTTGTTCTATTCTGGGATGAATTGAACATGGCTTGTTTGTTGTTGTATGTTATTGTGTTTGGCACGGTGGACATTCTGCAAGTGGGAGTACACTCCCGCTGTGACATGATGTGTATTTTGGTGAGTACAATCCGTTGTTTGGCAGGGAGGGTGGAATTTCTGAAGCGGGAGACTCACAGCCCTGTGAGTGTTTATGGAGTGAACACATCCGTTTCGATGGTGAGGAATATCATGACGTCATGGCTTCGTCAGTTCCCCGTGACGTGGCGTTTGCGCGCCAACTCTTTTTTTTGAAAAGCAGAGTTGGATCACAGTACCCCTGAACCTTGGTTGAAAGGAGATGAATTGCAATTTTTCGCGGCTTTTCCAAGTTCTTTGTTTAGGGTCCAGGGTCTAAAAATGTGTGCTATTCAGTGTAGAAGCCAGCGCGCATGGAACTTGGTGAGGTTTGGACCCAGAAAACATGAGCAGACTGGACTACTATGGTGTCACCTTACCGTGGTTGGACCCACTCCTATCCACTCCTAATTTAATTTGGTAATGGTAATGTAGACTCTTGATTAATACACCCCCCCCGAATTGAATTGAACATCATCTTCAAAGGCGGGTTGATTAATCAAGAGTCTACATTACGTCACAAAGGTCTACTATGTTTCCACTTTTGATCGAAGCCTGGTGAAAGACGAAGATTCCTTGCATCAGAACACACATGACATGAGTTCAACCACAACCAGCACAGCGCAGAGCACAGAGCACACAGCCAGCCGAACAGAGCCACCTAACAGGGATTCGGACAACCCTGAATCAATATGGAAGGGTTTTGGGGGGGATCTCCAAACCGGGGCTGTGTTATGGCCCAGACTCTGCATGGGACTGGCATATGAAACCCTACATTCACCCCTTTTCAACAACCACCCCAAGGTATATACGTTTATATGCCGTCTGGGATTTGGAGTGTCGTTCTGGCCGAAAACCGTTCCACCTGAGGGCCACCGTGACCTTGCAATTGGATGAGTCCGGGGCCCCCGGGCGGTCTGATGGCCACGCAGCGGTTTGATGGCCGTGCGGAGAAAGAGAGGGATGGAGTGGAAGAACGATGGGTCGAGCTGCGACAGTGATTCTCATACCGAGCCCAGTGGATTCCTGCTAAGATAACAATCGTAACAAATATGAACACAACTCATATTTGGACAGATAATAACAAAAAACTCGGCATGTTCATATTAATTCATTCTTTTTTCTGATCAGGAACGGCTGGGGCCTCAAGCTCCAGAGCGTGCTTTGGATTCCTGGATCCTTGGGACGCTCATTTCACTCATCATCCGTTCAGACGCGACCTGTTTGGGACTGACCGAGAGACGGCCCGGGGTGGTAGTCGGGGTCCCATGATGTCGTGTCTCCGGGTCTGACTGGAAGAGGACGTCCATGGACGTCTCCTGACGAGGGGCGAGGGTCACAAAGCAGGCGAACCCATGATGCCATGGTCGTTCTACAGTCTGGCGCCAGGCAGTTTCAGCTGTATGTGAATAGTGGCCTTTCTTGATGGGCTTCTTCTACATAGAGTCTGTTCTCATACCAGCAACCGTGTGCAATGCTTGATGAGCACTCTCCTTCAGAACGGCCTCTACTAATAACAATAGTAGTCGTCCTCCTCCTATTCATCATCATCGTCAGCATCATCCGTTCTACCCATGTAATTTGTTGGGAGTAGTTTCAACATGCTTCAACTCCAATGATTCTGAACTCTTATTTGTTTGAAACCTGTTCCAACCCATGTTACATGCTGTTTTGCCGAATCGATCAACCAACATGCAATACTTCTCAGCAGTTCTTCACAACCCAAGATCTCGGGCGATATTTGGGAGTCTAAAACCTCCAAACAGATCGAGCCGCTCCCGCCATTTCTGCCACACCGAGGCCTGGCACGGCCTGGTGTAGCGCGGTAAGGGATCAGGCCACGCCGCCCAGCATCAACCAGGCCGGACGTGCCGCTCAGCGGCCGCACGGGGCCGGTGCCGCGGTACCGCACCGACGCGCAAGGAGACCACGCGGCGCCGCAACATGCGCGCCACAGTAATGGTTTGCCCAGGGCATCCAGGCAAAGCACTTTTGAGTCGATATGAACTGCTGGGCCAAGGAGACAGTGGGGGTCCCAGGGCATTTAATTACTATAATTAGCTGGTAACCAGTGGTTCCAAAGACTCAAACTACAGATCCTTATATAGTATAGTCATGGTTCCTTATATAATAGTGGTTGGGATCTTTTGAGCTGAGCTTGGTACTGTAGCGGTTGTGGAACTGAAAAGACTGAGCTCGGTACTGTAGCTTCTAAGCTGACGGATGTTTCACCCACCGAGATGCTCAATATTCTCCAGGGAAGGGGGCTATAGTCAACATTAGGATCCGGAGAATTGATGTTGAACGGATGAAGGCCTTTTTTGCCATACAGTTTGACTGACTGACCCTATATTGATTGAAAACATACAACTTCTCATCCCTTTTGGGGGGCAACACCTTCCTTTGCAACCAACCTTCGCACCGGCACTCTATGCTACACGGTGCAAGCCATTGCAAACCCGTTGTCTCCGAAGACGGCACGGTGCAAACAGCGCCAGATCATCGCAGCGAGCTTCTCCAACACAGTGAGCACCGCCACGACGGTGCGCGGCGGGAGACTGGGTCTGCGAGGTGGATGACATGCGTCGCGTGGGTCTGCGAGGTGGATGGTGGATGGTTTGTTTTGTTTGTTGGGTTTTGTTTTTTTTGGGGTGATGATTTGAGGAAGTCTTGGACGAAGGCCTTGACAAAAGGGGATATGCAGGGATTCAGGGATCCACATAATTAGGGGTCGCCAACAATCCAGGAGGTTGTTTGGTGGCTGTGGACTGTGGATATATAACAATCAGACTGTGGACTGTGGATCTATATAAGATGTTTCAAGGACATTCTCTTGACTCATCTTTACTCAAGCCACTGGAGCCACTGAAACCTCTAAAAAAAACATAATTTGAAGAACATGTTTGTTGAACAAAGTGACAGATATATTTTGAGAACTTCAATATCTTCAAGACAAGGCAATAGACTTCAAGATAGCATAGGATAACCCCCCCCACAAAAGTCACTTGCCGCATGTCCCTATTCAATCAATTGGCGCGACATCCTTTTGTCCCGATTTGTTTTTAACGCCGTGCAGAGTACGTCCTTTGCGTTCGAAAAGTGGATAGCCTGAAACACCAAACTTTTGGGAATGAACACCCCACTAATTCAGGATATGCATCCAAAAGTAGCCACAGGCTACAACATCTTATTCGAACATACATCTGTGCGGTATGCTTAAATTGTGAAAATACGTTTGTGCGGATTGCAAAACTGCATATGTTGAGGTTCTTTTGCAGTCCATACAAGGTAGCCAGTCTAGGACACCATTGGTGGCCTTCTTTGATCTTGGCTTTGCATCGTGCTGGGATAAGTGTGTCACTTAGAGAGACCTGATGATCGGGTTTAATACTTTTGAACCCCGGCAGCTACTAGGCATCAAGCAACACATTTAATTATCCTTGGCTTAAACTCAACTTGAATGACTTGAACGGTTCCTCAGTCGTTTCCGCACTTGAAAGAGATCCGACTTGAATGACCTCCTTCGGCCAGCGAACGTCATCACCCACGAAGCACCGTGACATGTGTGGGGACTTCACGGCGCATCAGGGATCGAAAAATCCGCGCCAGGACTTCACGGTGCAAGTGCAGAACCTGCAACGGGATACCGAGTGCCCCTGCAACGGGTCTCTCCAACGCTGGGTTTAGGGGGTTACAGCGCTGGGATGCGTGGGTGGGGTTTAGATGCTGAAGGGGTTACATCCAGGAGATGTCACGGACCATTAATTCATAACCATTCCGATCTTCCGAGACCAGCCTGCAGGCTGAGGGATCCACCCATCGGGGATTGATCGTGCTTTGGTGTCATAATGTTTTGGTGATCGTCCACGGGTGAAGAACAGAGTGAAGACCAAACATATCTAAATAATTACAAATATTTGTTCACCTGACCCGCAGTTGCCTACTTGGCCCACTTGGCCCCCTTTTGCACCACACCAACAATGGAAGACAGAGGGCGTTCTGCTGGTTGTAAGAGTGTGCAACCCTAAGGGATCTGGATGAACTCCCCTAGGGATCTCATGCGAAATCGCAGGTTCCGCGAAGACGGACTACCCACCCTGGACATACACCGAGACCCACATGGATCCGGGCTTGGCATGGATGTGGAAGGAAGACTAGCTTCCTTCACAAACCAGTGATTGTCAGCTTCCAGGATTTATCTTCCAGGACGTTTTAATATGTTTTAATACATATTGTTAATCAAACAAACCAAAGGGACTCCACCAACCAAGGCTGAGTCAAGTCATTGCATTGCATCTATATGTTTTTGCCATGCTGCAGGGGCCCAGAGCAGCTTTTTGACCCATGCTATAGCCATTGGAAATAGTCAGGAAATCAAGCAATCTCGTCTAGGCTCAGTCAACAAGGGCAATTTCTATCCCAACCATGTGCTGGGTTACCCACTATAGACTCCAGAACATCCTGTCTAGACTAGCGTGAAGCGAAGCCCGCATATGAACACTGGAATGGCTGTAATGGCTTAAGACTTGCCGGATGTGTTTTCTTCCACCAAAGTACCCCGCGTACTCGTTCACCGCTGAACTGCAATGTTTGCATAAAAAGGGCCGCGGGCATGGCTTTTGCACAAAGCAAGTCAAGACTTTAAGCTTATCCCTTGGAAGCGCTCACAAGAGTCACGAGTCACAAGAGCAGATATTGAAGGTTTGAGCCATGCAGGGCGCAGACAAATTCTACGATGCCATGCGCGAAGCAAACTTTAAGTGACTCGGTTGCAAAACCCGTTGGTGAGGCGAAAGCCAAATTACAGTGCATTCCTCCAATCTGCAAAGCAGGATCTTGCGGAGCTGCTTTGCAGAGTCTGGTTGAAGTCAAACCATTTAGCATCAGACAGCCAAAGTGTGTTGTTTCACACGGACAAAATTATTGCTTCCTACTGTATAGGCTTGTGTGGAGTTCGCACAGATTCGACTCCGAAGAGTTCTTGCTTTTGAGGTCCAGGTACCAAAGCTTGCTTTGCAAAGCTTGCAACAAGGACAATCCGTGCTCTCCTGATCGGGGTGCAGAATTGTTCCATACACGCGCATGTGTAGAGAGCCATATATTATTATCATTTACTACATGACTGTATGGAACAAAACATACCAAGCAGTAAAACATCAATACCTGTCAATACAAACGGTATACTTAAACAACATCCCTTCCAAAATACACTTTTGTTTCAATCAGGACACTAACAGTACAGGTATTAAAGGGACGCTTGCTGAACAACATGTGAGGGGGTGGGGAATTACAGATTTCCACAAGAATTGCTCATGGATATCGAATAAAATATGATTCACATGTTTCTTGACGTGAAGCAAATTGAACTAGTTTGTCAGTGGTTCTCGTTCTTCTTTGGCTTCGCTGATGTTGCGCTACTTGTGTAGGGCCTCGGAGGCACAGGTTGAGGGCCAAATCTAAAGACAGAAAGCCTGCGCAGCAATTGCTCTACCAGGAGAGTAATACACATGTTACAGCATATTACAACCTTGATCTTCAAGACCGTATTAGGTGCCAGAATCTTCTAGTAGTTGAACATGTCACCCCAGTTCCACCATGAAAACATGGAGATCCTTCACGTGGTGCTTTGTCGCTAATGTCACTTCACACGCCCGGTTCACCAGCTCAAGTCACAAGCTTGCTTCACCGACTCGTCTTTTCGGATGCCGGGGCGGGGGCGTCGTAAGCGCCCGGTCTGCTGCTAGCACCCGTCCTTCATGCGTTCGATGATATATCAGGGTCCTTTGGGTCCTTCTTATGCAGTCCTTTGGGTGCTGGGCGCTCCGTTGGGTCCTCTGGGTATGTGCATGATGGTTGGAGAGTCGCAGGTCTGTGTCGGCTTTAGCCATCACCTTGCGTGCCACTCTATAGGTCCCTTAGAACCTCTTTCGCTGGAGGAGTCGGTCTGGCAGACGGGTCGCTGGTTTCGGAGATGTGGATGTGGCAGACTGGTTTCTGGCCTCGATATTTGTTGTTTGTGAGGCTCTGTTCGACACTTAGCTGGTGGATGCTGCTGGTTTCTTTGTTCGCCACCTCTCAGGAGATACGAGGATACGACTCCATGGATGCGCTGGACATCTTGATCTCCCACTTCACGGGCAATCCGCACCGAAAGAAGGCGCAGCAGACCGGCCCTCGTTTTCCTGCGAAGGACACGCGGAGCGATGCTGAAAGGTTGGCAAAAGGGGACCAAAGAGGGTCAAAGGTTGCCCGGAACTATGAACAACGCCTTGAATAGCGATTTGAAGAGGATGCTTTTGACAAACATATTTGCCAAGTTTTGCGAGGATGAATACTTATACAATATATTTTTAGTTATATAGTATTTTCCCTATTGGTGAATCCCCTTCTGGGGAGTATTTCTTCCTGGTTGTGTTACAAAAAAAAACCAAACACGACCTGTTTGGGACTGGCGTATGAAACCCTACGTTGACCCCTGAAATCCACCACCCCTGGCCTTTTGGAGTTTCATATGCCAGTCCCATGTTTCGGGATAGCATGGAAGTATCCAGCGACTCGATTCGTCCTCGCTCGCTGCCGACGCACGCACCGTCGCTGGCACGTCGCACCGTCGGCTCCGATTTCCCTGCTCCTGCATAGGCCAGACAACTAGCTCCTGATGATGAATGGCAGGAGTTCATCTCCCGCGGCGATGAGAAAAGAGTGCCATGACCACGTCGCCGACTCCCCACTCGGCGTCGGTTGGGGGGGGGCTCCTTTTCTTGCTTCCAACCAATGAAACCCAAAGAACCAACCCCAATCCCAGACACTCCATGGGACTGGAATATTTGCCGCCCCATTGACCCCTCAAACCAGCCCAATGTAGGTAAATATGCCATACATGGAGCGTCTCGGAATGGACCACAAAGGGTTTGATTCATGTCCCGCCTGAGCGGCTCGATTATGGCATCCTCTAGCTAATGGAGATTGACCAGTGGGGATTACAACGCATCCAGTGTGCACTCCCTAAAATATAGAAGTTGATTAAAAAAGCACCTGTCCTCCGAACTCCGGAGCCGTTTTCCATCCAGGTCCGGGGAACGGGTGAAAATATCTACCATGAGTTTGTGTGAGTTTGTGAAAGAAGGTGTGATAGGTCAAGTCTAGTAAATCTTGGGTCTGTCCTATCACCTGCAACAGTCAGTAAACAAAGACACCACTATTATTTTTAGAGATGTCGGCCTGCTAGGATAGACCCAAAGTAAATCAAGGAAGGGCTGGCTCAGTTCTTGGGAGCCTCTCAGGTTGCAAGGGGGTTCCTCTTTACTTCCCAGTAGTTTTTTGACACACACACATATATATATATATATATACGTATATAATGTACGCATGTTTTTTATGAAGCAATGTCATGTCATATCCATGCAGTTGCTCAGAAGCTTTGCGACCCCTGCCAAACCGCTTAAATCAATCTGTCAGAACAACCAGTAGCCCAAATCAAATCAAGCCAAATCTCACATCAATTTACAAAATTACAACTTGGCGAATAAGTTTTGGCCCAGCCTGGTCAACTGGATTTAGTTGGAGATTTGACAAATTAGCCGCCCCCCAAATCAAAGCACGAACCTCCCCTAAGAATCCTTGGATCCTTCCATGATTGGATGAAGAAAGCGCCCAGAGTCTTCAGGGTTTTCCTCGTATACGTTTTCCTCGCATCACAGCAAAGGCCTCCTAAACCCATCCCCCACCTGGCATGCTTGGCTAGCGCACTCGTTCGCCGCACTCGTATCAGACCGCACAACGAGGTTTGGCTCAACCATCGCACGGGCGAAGTCTGGAAGGGCCGTCAGTGCCGATACCGGCCATCGGACTGGGAGAGCGGCATGAGGACTGGGATTGGTCGTCGATCGGTGAAACCAAGCTGGGATGGGGTGTTTGTTTTTTGGAACTGATTCAAATTCTTTGGGTGATTTACGGTTCGGACATCGAAACTGCCACAGAGCCCCACCAAAAGATGCAGGATTACATTGCGACATTTTGCTACAACGTACTAATCTCTACAAGGGCTTGTCTCAATATAGGGAGTGAGTCCATGCTAGCTTTAATTTATAGGATGATAATATAAACTGAAACCTATTGGATTGTGTTCTCCCTACAGTATTCCTGTATACCAACACTTGTACCTCTTACTTGTTAACATTTTCCAGCCGGGATGTTAGACTAGTTGGCAAGCTAGTATCGAGTGTTGGCCAGGTTTGTTCGCCTTGACAGATGATTCTATACAGTGTTTCTACATTATAGTCAACCGGTTATTATCCTGTCCAGTTTCTTTGTACTACATACTGCTGCCAGTTGTTTGCCAGGGATGACATACTAGGGCTGCAACAACTTTCTTGCAGCTTCAGCATGCAGTGTGACAATCGGGTATGGGCAAGCCGATCTAACGCCTCCAAGAGACAACAACAATGTGCTCTTGTGGCGAGGACGCTCAATTGGTGGCTCTGGCAAAAGACTTTGAACATGCGGGAGCAAAGAGAAGACAAGCCACTTGTTGTTGTTATTTGTCTGTGTTTCTTGCCCAGGTCCTACGGTGGGAGCTGGAAGCAATGTTGTTGCTCAGTTCATGTGCGATGTACGAACATGTTTGATGGTTCAGTTAGTATGCGATTGGTTTGCCCAGCAGAGTTGCTTCCGATGATGCTGAACACTTTGGTGACAAACATACCAAATTATATAGCTTTCCCAAAGGTTGTTTGTATATTGCTGTTAGGAAGAGCAAGCTTCCGTTGAGTTTGGCTCCCATCGTGTTGGAGTTGCTCCACTTCCCACAGTATGGTTCCGGCCGGTTCGCGGCTTTTGAACATGGTGTCGCACGATGGAATGAAGGGCCCGGCCTTTGACAGATCGCCACTAATGCAAATTCCAGCAGGATATTCATCAGGATATGCAGCTGAGCCATTGCCACATGAAGGGCCGCCCTTTAACAGAGCGCCACTGCAACAATTATACCAGTCGCCAGGATACGCGCGATATGCAGCACATGTGGAGCCAGAAAATCAAGAGGACAAGTTCATGGACAAGGACTATAGTGACTTTGTTGAGGCAGCACAGTTTCGTCACAAAGACTCTTCAGAATCAGAAGAAGCGTGTTGCGGCTCGGAAGATTCTGGCGACCTCTGCGCCGTGAAGTTCCTAAGCAATCCAAAAAACGATACCCAGACTGGGCGCCGGGAATTGACTGAAGAATACTTAGAATATGTCAATGATTTCGCCAAAGCCAATCTTGATGCCGATGCTTACTTCACCGGCTACCTCGCCTTGATGTCGACCTACACCACCCGTGGGTCGTTTTTGCAATCAGTGCTTATCATCCCAATCCTGTTGTTTGCCATCATTGCACAGGGATCCATGATTTGCTTTATGCTATCTGGTATTGATTGGAATGCAGCCAGCTGGTTTACGACCATTCAAGATGTTGTTGGGCAAAAGGTATCCGACAAAATCTCGCCTTGGATATTGTGCCTGGGACTGAGCATTTTCCTCATACAGGTCACTGAAGAACAGAAGCAAGTTACTATTTTTTTGAGGGCTGCTTCCACTTCAATCAAGTCAAAGAGTGTACCACAGCCTGAGACTTGCAAGACTCTTAGATGTTTTGCAGTCATATGTTTAAAGTTTGCCAAGTGCACTATGCCGTTTCTGCTGAGGCTGGCAGGAATGACTGTTATGTGTCGTTCCACAACTAATATGGATGTGATCTTGAACTGCACCGCTTTGACGTTTGTTTTTCAAATTGATGATATTGCCGTGAAAGCGGCTTGCCCACGCTTGACTCATCCTATGCACCATTTCAGAAGTGAATACGTCAAGCATTTTTTGACACCCCGTGTCGAAGACATCGAACACCCTTCAAGTTGGTCAAATGTATGGCAGTCCTTGCGTGTTGTGTTCCTTTGTATAGCTCTTGGTGGGGTATGGGTGTTCAATCGGCATATTGTGAGCCAATGTATTTCGACGTTGCTCGGAGCTTGAGGCTTGAGAGCAGCCGCTTTGTTTGAAGTGATTACCTGATAAGTTCAAGGCATGATGATTCACTGCAAAGTCCAGGTTAATTAGGTGTGCGTTTCTTCGACTGTTGATGTATTGTACTGAAATCCTGGCAAAGAGTTCTAAGTTGCCTAAATGTTGCTACACACATTTCTCAGTTGTTGCGTTTGTTGCTCACGTGCTGAGTGTTGGTAGGTTAACCTCTTGTGCTTTGATGTCATGGAGATGTCCCTCCCTTCAATCACGTGTGCAGCCAACCTTGCAGCTGTGCAAAGATGGGAACAGCCCTGAACAGAGGTTTGCAATTCACCATGATGTCGCACTATGACAGGACTTGAGCAAAATGACGTTGTATTGCGAGGCCGATTGTTGCCGCTTTTATTTGTGATCATGCGTTCTGGTTTGGTTTGTTTGCTGCCTTGGTTCTTCTAAGCTTCGCGACTTTACATTTTCCGAGGTTCCAAGGACACAGTTCTGTCGACGCATCCACAGCTGAGGCCTTTGACGCAATTCCAAGGGCCATGGGACAAGGGCGACGGCTCCGCAGATGAGGTCGATACAAGCAACTCGACCGGCAGGGCACGTCTGTGGGTCTCTGGCATCGTTGGCGCGGGGTGCCTCAATTGAGCAACATGCGCAAGTGCTGACATTACTGAACCATACCTTTGACTTCCATCGACTTCCCGTAATTGGTTTCATTTGTTTGTATGTTTCAGTACTGTAGGTTCAAGTTTTCAACATCACTAGAAAACCACCCTGGGCCCTGGAGGGTTTTCATGTTGGTGTCTTTGAGGGTCCAATCATACTGAGCTTCAGTTTAAACACCCCCAGGTCACCCCGTGCGCGTGTGCTCTGAGGTCCACTGGCTTACGATGAGCCCGACGACCCGGCCGCATGGAAGGGTGGCTCGTTGAAGCAACGAGTCGTTGATCTCAAGCATGATCTCTGGGAGGCACCGCGACGTCGGCCTGATGGAGAGATGGGAGACCGAGTGGGCCTGGGTCCCATCTGAACCGCAGGGACTTGGGGTGTTGACTATATATAATTCTCTTCAACCCCCCCCCAAACACTAGTAATTACCTGGATTGAGAAATGAATTCTTCTCATGTGAGAAAAAATCATTACTCAATCCATCCGACCCAAGAAGGTTGTGGAGTTATTGGGACGAGGTTTGTGAGCTTCCCGCCCTCGCTTCGGGAGTCCCAAAAACACTCAGCGTCCGGTGGGAGGATCACCGAACCCATGGATTTGCTTCCTCCAGCTGTGAGGTGTTCTATCACACAAACGCGATAGTTATGCAAGCGTGCCAGCAGTGCATTCTTTTGAGAGGCTTCAGCACTTGCCTTTGCTCTGTGGCAAAGAGGATCACAATCCATTCAATTGTAATTCCTCAATGAGTAATTGTGGACATTGGCATTGTTATTATATACCCTGGCAGTCCAGTCGACCATTTTCTAAACGGTCTGACTAGGTGATTAGAAAAGGAACTTCCTGAAGGGTGGTGCCTAAAATAGTCTTTGGACTTCTAGGGTATATATATATAACTATATAATAGTGTCATATGGCAGTTTGTCATTGCAGTCTTTGTTTACCAAGCAGACGAGAGCTCGGGCCCTGATCCGAAGCAAAGCAAAGGTACATACTGGTGTCCTAGGACCTGCAATCTTTGCTTTACATATAATAGTAGTTGTTTTTTTCCCAATCGTTCCCAATAGTCTTACAAATGGTTCCCTAAAGGTCCGTGCCGTATACCTTCTCAGGAGGTACGACTGGAGCCTCCTGGCTCCTACATATAAGTCCCTGCCTCCAATCACCCCTTCAAATGGTGGGTCCATTGGGGTGCGTTTCTCCATGGTTCTTCTTTGCTAATTCCCTGCAGGTCAATGACCTCGTTCTACTGGAGTTGGTCATACACAAACACCACTATAAGGCGGCAAGTTTGACCAGGTGTTACTGGATCAGACTGGACTTGTATACAGTATATATATAGAGAACAATATCACTGTTGTTTGCTTTAGTCCTTTCCTGTTACCCCCGCACTGCTGCTGGAACCCGAACGCAGGAGATGGTGGCCAATGACGAAGAATCCCGGGACCTGACAAACTCAGACCTCTTCGACTGGAGAGACCCGGCAGAAAACACACCACTGGAGGGCCCATGGAGCGACGGCGGAACTGGGTGGAGTGGGGGTCCCTCCGACGGCCCGGGTTTGCTGGACGGGTGATGTTTTTTTTGCCTATACTATGTACAGATATGTACGGATTTTAAGCCGGGTCCTTAAGCAAATCCAAGAAGATTGTTGTTGGCTTTTGCTGTTTCCACCACTATATACAATAAGAACCATGTGCTGACAAAACGCGATTGTCCCAGTCACGCTTCAACCACATGGACCTTGGAAGGGTCTCAAGAATGTTGAAATTTGAGTTGCAAATGGTTTCCTTTCTTTCTCAACCCCTGGAAGCCTTTGTGAAGGTATGGGTTTAAGAGAACAAGTCCCGGCAGACCTTTGCGATCTATAGAGTTTGACCGAGTGGGAGTTGTCGCAGTCAGGAACATATCTGAAGCAGCTCCAGAAGATGCCACCGGACCTGGCAGATGAAGCAAAGTCCTTCAAAGCAGAGATTCATAGGAGCAAACGTGGGGAAACGAGTCAGATCAAAGTGTGGAAGAACCACCGACCGATCTCCACCAACCGAATGGGGGAAAGGGGGAATGTGGGAGGAACCTTGTCAAAACATCGAGCAAGACTTAGTGCTAATAATTTCTTGTCCAACAACGAGGAAGTCAGCATTGAAGTAGGTGTCGCCCCCCCGCTGTTGCAGGAACTATAGGTCCATATGCACTTGTCAGGGCTTGGTAAGCATCCAAGTGATGCCATGCATTTCTACAGAGAGCCTTTGTTGATTTTCGAGTTTGTCAGGGTGTGACGAGCAGGGCATGTGTTCCCAAAGATGCCGGCTAGCAGCGCAAATGAAAGCAGCATGGCATTATGATGACATATTGTGCATTCTTGGCGGTGGTGTGCAATGAGTGACTTGTGTAGCTGGGTCCTGGTTGCAACTGTCAATTGAAATTGGTTTTAACAAAAATCACATGTCGTACTTCTTGACACGTCTTGACATCTAATTTGTGCAAAGACGGTCAGCCCACACAACACAAGAAACATGTCCTTCGCATGGAACATAGTGCAATACTCAGACCATTCATTTATCGCATTTATCATCATTAAACATCACTAAGTTTAAGTCCCAATGATGGTAAATATTTCATACCTTTCCATACATGGATTGTTAGTGCTCTGCACACTCCGATATCATGTTTTCGTCCTCTTAGTTTTGCCTTTCGGCGATGATTTCCACAGCGCTGAAGTGTCAGCCGACACCGACACTCGACGCGCTCGACGGACGTCACCAAGCAAACTCGGCGAGGACAGCCTGGTGCAGCTGGACCAACCGGCCGCAGTTCCATTTCGCCGTGGAAACGAACCGTGTTTTGGCGGCGTTGATAGTGGGAGCCCACCTCTCCAATCAGTTCCAAGCTTGGATCACCAGGTGGGGTTTTACTGTTTGACCTGAATGTAATCACATGTGTCTTGGTTGAAGGAAGAAAACCGTAGCAATAAACATTGGAAACCCTACGACAATGTCACTTCCATGTTTTGTCATTGTTTTTTTGTTTGAGGTCATATATTGAGAGGTCATGAGAGGTCAGTTGGAGCCAATGACATTGCATCTCAACCAATCAACCACTGTCAGCTTGCCACCTGAGATATGAAACACCTTTGTACATTTACAACATGTTGATCCTCGGTATCCGGGACACTTTCCTTACTATATAGATGTGGCTTTCATAGAACCTTGTATTTAGCCAATGCTGCAGGCATCCGGCCTGGATTCCCAGTCACCGCCTGAGGGTTTTCCTGGAGGCTAGTTCTACTAGACCTTTTTCTTTTCAACCCACACGAACGTCAGTCCTACATAGGACTAGCCCACGGAAACGGTTGAACCATTTCAAAAAGTTGGGGATGTTTTGATGGATGAAAGCACTGCCATGGAGTCTCCACTCGTCGCGGGTTCCGGACGAAGAGCGCGGAAACCACTCACCTCGCCCATGGCGACGTGGACTCGCCTTGAGGCTTCCGAATCCTTGTGAACCAGCCGAGGGGGGAGGCGGGTGGAACATCTGCAGACGAAGCGACCTGGCGGTGACGCCAAAGCTGTAGTCATTGTCCCACTTGCTGTTTGCTGGAGGTTTTGTTTTGGTGCCCAAGGGGAGCTTCATAATTTGCAGTTCGAGGCTATGCCATGTACTCTGCATGCAGTCCGCGGTTTTGTCAAACTCTTTCTGAAGGACAATACAGTACTCTTAATGTTTTTTCACGGCGCACTATCATGTGATGCTGAGTTGTTTGTCCACCTCCTTATCGATCGGGCTGTCCCACAGTCATGTGAATGTGTTCTCAATACCAAGGGTTCTTTTAGGCACTTGCATGATTGAGGCAGACCCCCATCTTGACTGACCATCAATTGTACAAAAAAAATACACCTCAAACGCCAATTAATCCGCAGCAATCCGCAGGTCAGGCACTCTAATCTACTATGATCATCGGAGGAATTTTCTCGCTATCGGGGCAACTCAGCTGTGCGCGATTGCGCGAGCGTCAGTCCTTCGAGTTTTTGGTTTCGGAGAAGGTTTTCAAGGTGTAACGCCATTCCACATGCTTATGAAATATATGACAAGGACATTTTATCATATGTTCTGTCAGTCATGCATTTTGTGGCATTCAAGAGAATCGCACACCCTTTACAGTGCAGCTCGGACACGAAATGAGGCAACAAGCTTCTCTACAAATGTTAGCCACTGTCAATTCCATGTTCCTGCGCATGTCCCACCTTTTTTTCAAGCAATGCAGCCACAAATAGAAGTGTTTCGAGAGACAAGGAGTGATAAGATCTATAAATACATCCGCACAACAATTGGGGAATGGGCCATCGTAATGTGCGTTCAGTTGGCACGAAGGCAACCACTTTTCGGTGAGGATCTATACGTTTATCGAAATCACTGTGCATGGTTCTTTCTCCCAAACGCTCCATAGGACTTGAACAGTTCCCCATGTTGACTTCCCTGAAATCAACCACCCCAGCTTCCCTGCAAATATCCCAGTCGCATGGACCAGCTGGCGATATATGTTAGACTCGCAGTTGCACATAGCTGAGGAAAGACCCGATGGACGTCGGATTGAGCCCACTCCGAAGGAGCAGGATGTTTGCGCAGCTTTCGGAGGACCCGGAAAGCCGTGCCATTTTTATTGCGGGATTCAGCAGATATACTTCGGGCCGGGGTAGCGCGAACATAAGCCAACTGGATTTCCGTTGGAGGAAGAAGTTTCTTTGGAAGGTACGTGGCGTTTCTGGCAGGGATGTGTTTTTGGGTATTCCTTCGAAGGATGATGCTAATATTGGCGGTTTGAAGGATTTGCAGTACACATCCAGCCGGAACCTCAAGGGCCTTAGGGTTGACCTCGTTTGTAGGGACGATGGCTTTTCTTCGTTTGCTGGAACGTCTTTCCGACGCCGAGCTGGGATCTCCCGACTGGCGGTGACTGGCGATGTATTGGATCCAACCCCATGTCACACGGACTGGCTCGCGCAAACCCGGACGCGCGTGAACCCGAAACTGTCCAGGAAACTGCTTCTTCATGCGGAAGTTGAAGAACAAACTCCTGGATGGCTCCAAATGCTTCTTGTCTTTGGTTTTAAACGAAACAAGGTCACACCTTTTGAACAGCGCAGCGCCGCGCACGCATTGGGGGGGGGCCTTGGACCGAACCTGGAAAGTTTCACTCACCGTTGTTCCAAGCATGGATCAACTGCTGCCGGAACATGGGAAGATTAAACTCAGTAAACTGTCAGCTGGAATGTGTTGTTCCTTCAGTGGATTAAGCTTCCTGAAGGCTTCTTAGCCTGTGCGGGCTGGCATCTTGTGCGGCGACCAGGGTCATGCGCTTGAACCTTGCCAAAGTTCAATCCCTGACATTCTGAGATTGCTGTTTGGGGAATGAAGCCAAGATCACACCTTGATATGTTAAGCTGAAGCAAAGGTGTAAAGCAGAAATGATGCCGGTCCTGGAGTCCTTGTGCATAACATTCACAGTCTGAACCTTGAGGTCTAAAACTGGAAGGCACAGTTTGTCCCATGGAAAAGCGCAATGTGTCAACACCGTCTGTCGCTCATGTGAGGGACGCTGACGTTTTGTACTTGTCCCAGAACCCTTTTGGCAACATGTTAACAGATGGATGGTGTACCATATGTTGCCTTAAAGCACTGGACCTCCAGCTCATGTTCACTCCTACAGACAGCTACAGAAGGCTCCAGTCCCAGTCCCTTCATGGGGTGATGAGTGGCCCCAAAGAGGTGGCGAAAAGTAGTGGGTCATCACCGCACGAGTGGTACCACGGGTCACAACACCAAAGAGTGGGGTTTCCCCCAAGCAATGAGTGGAAGAACCCTTCGCCCTGCATAAGGCATGTTTTTTCGCTTCTTTGGTGGCTCTATCATCTATGTTCGGACAACCCCAGCTCGAAGAGCCAGAACACCATGAACAACACGCGCCGGAGAGCGGACGACTTCTGAAGGCCAAGAGCTCTCCTACAGAAACCTAGCAACTTGGAATCTTGATGTCCTCTGAGTACTCAGTGTGTGGTGGGGTGTGATACCACACAAGGCTGGTCGCAAACCAACAGGGTCAGTTTGTAGGTCCACTCACGTGCTCCGTTGCCCTCATTTGGAGACATTGTATGATATATTATGTCATTTTAGCCAGGTGGACCCAGTTCGCCATGGACAGCAAGCTGAACAACAGGGAATTCTGACATGTTCCGACCCTCAGTCTTTTGATTTATGCAGGGCCATAGACATATGATAGCATTAGGGAGAGATTTCCAGCATGACTCTTGATTTAAATGTTCAAAGCCTTTTGTGGAGCATGGACCTGTGTTTCGACGCAGGAAGAGTCCAAGTTGGTGAAGGAAGTTTGCCTCAGTGTGCAGGTGCTCTTCAGGGCTAGGATAGGGATGCTATAGTGGATACTATTGGTTCCCATTCCTTTTAAGCGCTCTAAAAAGCCCACACAGTCAGGCAGAGGAGTGAGATTTCTTTGGAGCTGAGCTCCTCCTTGGCACTAGGAACACATTCAAAGCATGAAATTCTAAGGTCATTTTGTGGCCTAGGCTCCTCGCACAGGACTGCTGAGGAACATTCGATGTAGCTTCAGAGTATCCACACATACTTGGGTCCGATCAGAGCCATCAAAGTCAGCTGACCCAGTGAAAGAGTGAATCTACCATCGACCGGGATCTTTGCAGTGACCTTTTTTTGGAGTCCCTAAGTGGCTTTGTGCAGACCTAAGTGACCTCAAACCAGGGGATCCAGGCATGCTTCTTCAGTTCGAGACCTGATCTTGGACGGTCGAAAGTTCCCGAACCAAGCAGAAGAACATCAAGTTCAGTCCAGAAGAGCCAGGAGGGTGCCTTTGGTTTCAAGCTCGAACGAAGGCGAAGCCTCTAAACTGCTCCACCCACAGAGGGTTGGCACCACATCACACCGAGATCGGTGTGATGATCGTAGCGGAACCGCCGCTCGTGCGGCTCCAGGACTTGGACTAGGCTTCCAGGGAAGTACCCTCTGACGAACACATCACATGGAAGTGGAAAACGGAGGCCCTGGAAGACTATACTGTCCTCTACAAACAGGGTATTACCTCTTCCATGTGATGTGTTCGTCAGAGTGTACCTTCTTCTCAAGGAGACGGGAATTGAATCTTCCCAGGTCAGAAGGTTCCTGCGTTTGGACGCCGATTCAGACCTCCTTGAACACGCTCGTCTCTTGGCTCATTTTGAACCGCCTGTGCCTGTTGGAGGATGTTGGAGGTGTTTGACAGTGTGAGGTGGTCAAGGCCAGGAGCCCAGCGATTGATAAACCAAGAATCGTATGGCCGCTTCGTCATTGACTTGGGCAAAACACCTATAGCGTGACCTCGGTTACATTGCCAAGCTGGCAGCTTCAAGCAAGTTGATCAGTACAGGATCGCACAAAACCCTTGATCATTCCATCAATCATTGGGTCGGGCTTGGTCCGACATTCTGTGGCATCAATAGATGGCATTATACTATTATGGTTGGTTGATGAATAGAATTTACAGGGATCTGGAGGGGATATCCCCTGTCGTCTACAACCAATATAAAACTATATATCACCAAATCAACCCCTCTATTACTACCCCCAAATAGGACATCGGTGGCATCCCAAGCGACTTCAGAGGGTCGAACCATAGGTGGATCTTCGTTCATCGACTCGGAAATTGGATGGGAAGATGCCCGAAGAAAGTGTCGGTGTCCCATTACCATGCATTCAGTCGGTAAACACTTATCTATATTTTAAAGAAAGCCTCCGACCTAACCATCATTATCCACTGAATCAGATATACCCAATCCATGTGTATATCAAATTGCAAAAACTTCAGGCAAACACTGTGTTCTTATTCTTACCGGGTCCTACAATATCTATGTGGATCAGCCGCGGTCGAATTAAGAAGCCCTTTTCACGTTGCTAATTTGGGACGGTCAAGTATCACCCTCTTGGAAATGACAATAGGCAGCTTGTGGAGGGAATAAATTCGACTGTGCGAGGCAACATACGCGTCTTGCAGGATTCTACGGGGAACGGGTTGTCAATTTGGAACCTTCAAACAGTCAAACTCCTATCCTAGCGGTGACCATGTCTTCTAAACTTTATGGACCACCCCAGGTCGGTGAGACCGCACCGCGAGTGTGGCCCATCGTGTAGCCCTCCGCTACCAGCAGTCCAAAAACCAGAACGCATGCAAAATATAGGTCTTCACATAAGCCACGCTTTTGATGGAAAACGTGGCGACCAGGTGACAATGATCTGTTGGAATTCGACGAGGCGAGATTGATCTGGAGGCTTTCTCAAGACGAGATGGAGAAGACACTCGGATGCACGGAGAAGCTTCACAGAACTTCACCTTGTACTTTGGCTATTTTTGTTGGGTCCTGGATCGCTCCAACGCCACCCCGCTTGAGCTGTCGAGTTGGCGGAAACGCGCTCAGCCAAGGGATTGGAGGCTCTTCTTGCAAAGTCAAGGGCAGAAACTGGCTCCCTGGCGTCTTGACGACGCCTTTTGGAACTTCGACCAGGCCGCCTGAAGCATCGACACCCTGTGTTCGGCGCGGTGTCGCCGCGCTGTTTAGGGATCTGGTTTTACATCATTCGAAGAATTCCATGGAATTCCATGCGCCCAAGGGTGGTCGGACGCGTTTTTCGTGATGTGAGGAAATGAATCGGCAAACTCTTCACGAAGACATCAGTCTTGCAGTGGAGCAGTTTTCGACGCTTGGCACCTGAGGTTTGGACTGGGATTGCCGATACATGTGCATATGGACTGCGCTCAAAAAGCCCTACTCAATAAATATAGATACACGTAAACTTTTAAGGCTGTAGATGTGTTTTTAAGTTTTCGTTTAGAAGCGGGCCCCCAGCAGAATATGGTGATACAGCAAGGCAGCGCTAGATTGGCGCTAGGTTGGCGCTAGGTTTCTTCATAACAGGATAGCAAGCAGGAAAAAGAAGAAACAAGCAGAGAGCAGGAAACAGAAGAAACAAGACAAGAAAAAAGAAAAGCCAAGAAGAAGAAGAAGAACAAGAACAAGAAGAAGAAGAAGAAGAATGCACAACAAGAAGAAGACAAGCAAGCAGGAAAAATAAGAACCTGACAGGATAAAGAAATTGACGCAGATTTTTGCGCTAGGCTGGCGCTAGCACTGCGCTAGACGACGGTCCATTTCTTGACCATTTGCCCATCCAACATCCAAATCTTTTGAGTCAGCTCTTACGTCCTTCCTACTTATGTCGTTCTGAAGATTTCTGAGAACAAAAAGTGGAAACAACTGCAGGAGTCCAGCAGCAGCAGCAGCAGCAACAGCTCCAGCATCTCAGCAGTCCGCGCTAGACACCTCTCACAGTTTTTGCAGTTCACACGCCTTCATGTTTAACATCCCTGTGGTTTGAGTGTGGTTGAAGTTTAAAGGAGACTTAGAAGCGGCCCCCCATGGAATTGCGACGAGTGCACCATTTTGGGAAAAGACATTTTGGAAACCAACCATATATGTTTGGGGGAATCGATGCAGCCAAGGCCTTTAGGCCATGCAGAAGGTTTCAGAAGAGCTGCGCAAACGATTTGGAGGGTGGAATGGAGCCCATTATAGGGTCACTGTGTTTGAGGGTGCTTTTGTTTTGAAGCCTAGGACCATACACTGACACTAGGTGGGCCTGCCCCAAGCAAATGCGGGCTGTGAACTGGGAATAAACATGAATAAACAAAAAGTTACCGCAAGCGCCCCCAAAGTTGATTTTGTTGTGGGCCACAGAAATGGGGACTTCTGGAGCGATATTGTGGGTTGATGCAACGGTGCATTCGTCGACACGGTGTTCAAGCGGGCGGAGCAGTTCAGCAGAAAAGAGTTTGCACGTGGTCAACCTACAATCGCAAAGACTTGGCCTGGTTCTTAGAAGTTCTTACAAGTGACCGAACTGAATCCCCTGGCTTGTCGGGGCACTTAGGTCTGTAAAAAGGTCACAACAAGGACTCCAAGGAGGTTGGAAGCTGAAGAAGCTACGACAGTTGCATGATTGTCATGATCTATACATATATATTTGGTTGTCGATCTAAAGGTCCTAGTCAGCAGTGTGTATGACGATGACCCGGAACATATCAAAATCTCATTTGGCGAAAGTTTTTCTCGAGTTGGCGAAAGTAATTTTTTTTGGCGAAAGATCTGGCGAAAGATTAAATATGTACTTTTGTATGAATGGTCATTTGCTTTCTGAACAGCTGGTGGCAGTGACAAAGAAGCTAGATGAGCTGTGGAAGTTAGATAACCTGCTGCTGCTGCGGCTGCTACTACTACTACTACGACTACCACTACCACTACCACTACCACTACTACTACTACTACCACTACCACTACGACTACTACTACTACTACTACTCCTACTACTACTACTACTACTATTCCTGCTCCTGCTTTGGGGGGGTGGCTTTGCCACAAGACTCTACCCCGCAAAAGGCAAAAGTTTGGCGAAAGTTCAGCTCAAGATTGGCGAAAGTTCACCCTGCCACATCTGACCCCCAGCCCATTATGAGTAAGTTTGAGTGACCGGCTACTACAGTGATTCTTGCAATTTTGATTCTTGCTGACACCCAGGAGAAACAAAAGAGACGTACAGGGAGTCAACAGTTAAGTAGAAGACACATGCTGACAAACAGTGAAGTTTCTATTTTGTGCTTGCCAGTAAAGAAGAAGCCATTGACGTGAACAAAACACAACATACATGGCACACATAAATACAACGTACTTCGGCGAAAGATAAAACGCAGGAAGGCAAAAATTTGGCGAAAATATTTTTTTTTGCGAAAATGACGGATCCCGGATAAAGAAATTTAGATCAACTCCCATATAATAGTTATATAATGTTATAAACCACCATAGAGTGTCTTGACAGGAGTCATGTTTCAGTGACGGGGGGCCCAGTGTTGTCAGCATGCCGCCCTGTTCAATCCACATCAACCGTCAGAAGCTGACAACCAATGTAGGGAACCGTTTTGAAGTTCTTTCAGCAACAAACCTAGACTACATAAGTATCAGTTTAAACAACCAAAACATCAAGGCAGTACAGTCTTTTCATGTTACAAGACCAGTGCATGGTTTCAAGTTTAGACAAGACTCAGACCCGACTTTTTGGATGTTTTCTACCAACACAATATGCACTGGTCTCAAAGAAGCAACCACCCCGACTCCGAAGACAAAGCAGCGCGCTCGGGCGGAGCGGAATGTCGATCGAAGGAAGCAGCAAGACCACCAGCGCTGGCAAGAGTGCTGCCGGCAGATCAATCGATGTGATAGGTGCCGCGTGTGGGCGTTGCGACCAGTGGCGTGTGGCAGTTGCGACCTACACCAGACATCGGATTGGAAGGGTGTGTAAGCCTGTTCTGTTGGGCTGTGTAAGCCTTTGGTTCCATCAGTCACTGTATAGGTTGATCCTTTGTTCCACAGGAACTGCCACTAGGAGCTACAGGTGGCTGCAAGATTGCTGCCGGTGGTACAAGCAGCTACAATACCATCCGTACCATCATCATTTGTTCCACTCAGGTTCTTCAGAACCTCCTTGACGGGACCCTCATTCGACAGTCACACTCGACCCAGGGATCAACTGTCGCCGACTGGCTCCATGGGAGCCAACAGGTGTCGACGGGACTTCTATCGCGTCTTGGAAGCTGAAACGCACAAAGACGCATTCAGAGAGGTGGGATCGCCCAGCAGGATTATTGTGGGAATGGGTGAGATCGGACAAAACAGTTGTTCCCACCCTGCAGGTCAATGACCTCATATCATTGGACGTGGTCTTACTTCAGGACGTAAAAGGGCAGGTTTGGACCTGGGTCAGGCTGGACTTGTAGGGCCATGTTTCATTTACAAGCTTCTTGAGGTTTGCCTCTACAGGAGCGAGGAGCCTCCCATTCCTTTCGGTGGCAAATATGGCGGAGAAAGGGGGATGTTGGATGTGTTTCGAGGCGGTTTCAATCATTCGTTATGGGTTGCTCCTTTTGTTCACAATTAAACATTATCTCGTCGTTCTTGTGTTGTTTTATGCAAGTCACTAGATTCCTTGATGATGATACAGCGGGCTTAGATCGCACCTCTTGTCACCAGCGAGCACAATCACTGGTGTTCCCGTGCAGGTCCAATGGCATTTTTGGCACGGCGCCAGCATGCTCAAGGTTTCAGAGAGCCTTGGGCTTAACGGGACCAAGGGTGAGTTGGTGGAGGCAGAAAGATCAACGCAGTTTGGCTGTCCAAATGGATTCCAGTCGGGCAAAAGGTCAATCAATGTACGGATGCGACTGGCACAGTTTGGCATCGAGAGGGACCTTGTGTTGGGTAGGGAATGCCAGTTAATGGTCTTGATGTTTACTTCCTGCCCGAAGGCAATAGCCAACGTGGGCTGTGATTGCTGCAGCGCTTTGAGAGAAGCAACTTCTTTTGAGAGAAGCAAATCACCTGCTTTCAGTTAGGCCTGGTTACTCCCCTGTTATTTGGACCATATGGAACCCCTTTCAACCTCCGGCTTGGTGTTCGGAAGATGGTCGATACCACGGGTGAATTCTCAGGTTGCGTCCGGACCGCACGGGGTTTGGCGATGGGTGGAGCGCCACGCAGCTCAGGATTTACTATACACACGACACCATCAACAGTGCCTGGGCAGTATTTTCCTAGAACCTGAGTGACCTCTATTTTGAACCAACTACCCAAAATATGGTCTTTTCCTATCAATATAGGGGTCAAATGGGTTCTAGGTTGTATCACATTTTGTAATTGTGTAGTTGTCTCATGTTGTGTCCATTCATACAAAACAGATAATTACATCAGATTCAAACATGTTCAAACCCCTCCAAAGCATCCAAGATTCTGGTGTAGACGAGATATGATGCTCGTATTCTAAATATGTTGCATGTCCTCTTTTGGAGTGGCTTTTACCCCGTTATCATTGACCCACCCGCCAGAGGGTAAACTCAGTGAACCCATCAGGTCGTTTTAAGGATCATCGATGGACGCTAGAAGATACAGTTCATCAGCTCCAGACGCACCAAGTGCGCGTTCAGGACCTGTTGTTCTCGCCGTGGCGCGCGCGCCGTTGCTTGCGGGAGATCGCTCCGCGAGATCGCTCCGCCACAGCGGCTCGGAGCATCGTGGTGACCTTCAAAGTGCCAACCACAGAAGGATTACATGCACTGAATATTTACACCTGACACTTCCCCCAAGTAGTCCCATGCAGGTGGTTTGGAGGTGTTTGGAAGGTAGTCACCCAGCTCTCAGTTGTCGCGCAGTAGTCGTTCTGTCGGGTGGCTCCTGTCAGACTAGCTTAAGCTGTCAAGCTAAATATACAGCGCACGCTCCTCCTGAAACACCAAACCCTCGAAAGAGCTGCTGTGGCATTTGTGGAAGTATGTGAAGATGCAAAAACCTACCCAGTCAGTGGATAACCTTTAACTTTTTGTTGTTGTTTCCACTAGATATGAACAGATGGACAAAGTTAAGCATCTTCGTCAAAAGAGACTGAGGGAGTCAGGAAGTATATGAAGATGCACTATTTATACATAGTATAGAGACAAGAACACTAGGTTTTACTATATTCCAAGTGGTTTTAAAACCACTGGCCTTGTTTCTACTAGGTTTTCCCCGTGGTTTTACCATATTCCAACTCTTGGTCCAATCACGTTCTGTCTATTGAGACCAAGAACCTCAGGGTAAAGACTTGGCCTTTGGGCAACGCAGTTCCCAGTAACCAAACTTGGCAAGACAGGTTCCCTGATGCTGTATGGCTGTGAGTCAAAATCAGACGGACGGAGTAACCCGATGTTTTGTGTGTGCGTGGAACTGGAAATTCTGTAGACATGCAGTCATTGTCCTTATTATTATAGAATGTCGAGCTGGACTTCTAAAGAAGCAGCATCATTGATCATGCTCTGATCATTTGCAAATCACACGATCGGCCCAGCATATCTTCTTATTCGCAGGACATTCCAGCCCTTCAAGTGATGTACTACCATGGGCGGTATTTCTCGATCGACAACCGCAGATTGTCACTCGGCGACTAACCGCTGACAACGCAACGCCTCAAGAGATCGGTTGTTCTCTATCACATCAAATAGGGAACTTTTCGCCTAACTTGTGATGTCGGCGACACTCACACACACATGTATATACCTTAAGCACCAAAACCTGTTATTTTAAAGGGGTGAACACAAGAACATCGGGTTTTCATACGCATTCTGAAATACAAAGGGTTTTGTCAAAGAACATTGGGTTTTCCAAGAACCATTTATATTTGACATTCTAAAAGGCTTTTGTTGATGAATAAATCATTGAATGGGCTTCTGTTTGTGCCCAATTCAATTCCTCCACTCGGCTCTAAGGAGTGAATATGTCTGCTCTCACTGTACAGTGGTGAAGAACATTACCAAAGATCTTGACACCTGAGACATACCGTGATGCAAAAACAACGGGTATATTTCACACCCGTGCCAAACCCGTGCCATACACGTACTTTACCCGGACTAACCCGTACCGTTCAACAAATACCTTGGGTATTTGAAAAAAACATAATGTTTTTGCAATCCGTGCCAAACCGTATTTTACCCGTACTACTAATCTGTACTTTTTTAAATGGTGTTTTTTTTGATCCTTCCCATGGTACATGTTTTCAAGGATTTACTTAACCGTTTTGCATGTTTGTTGGTTTATACACACCTGAAGACACGATCATGTTTGTTGCTTATATTTTGGGAGGCCTTCCGATGGGTTCAAGCTTGAGAAATTCAGTAGCACATAGTCTGAATTCATGATTTGATGTGAGTGGAATGGTGAGACAGGATGACAAAGGGGTCAGTGAAACATCCTGAAAACATTGTATTCAAAAACATCGGGTTTTCATAAGAACATTGTATTTTTTTGTTACTGACCCCTTTTAAATAACGGTTCTGGTTGCTTAAGGTATATATATATATATTGTTATAAATCCCAGACACTCCATGGGGATTGGCCAAGAAGGAGCTTGGTGATCATGGAGTTTCTGGGGAGTTCAAGCGCATGGGTAAACGGTTGTATATAGTCTATAGTCTATGTGATTGTTGGGTTGCGGTAGAGAGGCCATGAGGGCGGTTTTGGTTTGTGCAACAACTATAGTAAAATTGTTTACCCAGTGCATCCAGTTATCACTATATAAGGAACATTAAGGAACCAGGGATTCGTTCGGTCTATGGTTTTGGTCTTTGGAACCAACTGGTTACCGGCGACATCGTGGTTTGCCTGGATGCCCTGGGTAAGATAATATTTCAAGATTTGATACCATGTCCACAATTGATACTCAACATGATAGGTCACACTAGAGCCTCAGGCGGACAAAGGGCCGAGCAAACACGCAGGCACCGGAAGCAATCTAGAAGAATGTAGCTAATGTAGGAATAGGTATCCTTGTTAACTTGTTGACACAACTTCCGGTTGCAATAAGGCCCCAGAGATGGTCAAGACGGGGCTATTTGTAAATTCGAAGCTATCCCAAGTATTTCCCAACCAAGTCCTATATACCAGGAGTCACAAAGGAGTGGTTTTTTGGTCCCCTTACGTGAGTGGATGTGACAGGGGCACCCCTAACCTCCATGGATCGCACCCCGTCTTGTGACTGCAGGTATAGGGTCTATTCATGTCTATTCTCTTTTGGCGGCGAAGAATGGGGATGGACATGGTGACACGAGTTCCCCGCACCGTGTGCCTTGGGCGGTTTCTCAGATGAGAACAAACAACCCCCGGTTGGTCCCTGCAAAAAGAATCAACAAACTATGGAGGCACCCCTGCAATTCAGGAGTCCGTACTTCATTGGGCCAATGAGACTTGGGGCAATGGACTCAATGGACACAGGAAAACTAGAACCTGAAGCCCTGAACACTTGGCTCACTCAAGTGCTTCAGCCTCCATTCGGGCTCGCCCACCCGGTGCCAGGTGGTGCTTCAAGAAATTCGCCGAGTGGAGCGGCGCGGAGCTCTGGATCCCGGTGCAGGTCCACTGCATCGCGGGTCCTGGAAAGATCTTGCAGCCGCTTGGCGCCATGGTCATAGCTTGGATTCGTTTCCCCAATAGTTGTGAGAGTGACCACAAAAAAAGGAGCACGAACAGTAGCACGCCCAAACCCTGAAAAACATGAGAGACCTCATTTCGTTTGCAGCCGCCTTGTTTGTCATGGCGTGCTTGGTTGGTTGAGAAGTTCCCTCTCACGAAACAAGATGATGGGTTCTTCACAAAATGTTCAGCTTGGCCTGGAAAGCAAGAGGTCTTATGTCTTTACATCACACATATTCAGCCTTTTTTGTGGCTCCAAAACATGTCCAAGGAACATGCAACCAGACAACTCAGATTTGCCCCATTTTCCATCATGTTCCACTCCAGTCCGCGCCCATATTTTGCGCGGATTTCGGCTAAAACTCTGTTTTTTGGTGGCAAAAGCTGTGGATGCAACAACTAAGGAGTGGGCCAAAGCATCGTAACTTTTTAATGAAGTTCTTCGATGCATTCTCCACAAGGCCAGCCCCGGAGCGAAGCGAATCACTCGGCAGCGATGTGGAGATTGTGGGGGATTGAAACATACATGAGAACATGTGAAAAAGAAACGCCATTGAGGAGTTTCAAGAAAAGGGACCAATATGGAACGATCTAGGAATCCAACCGCTTGTGTTTTGTTCCTTCATGTGCGCAATGCAGATTACAGCTATTGATGCACAAACAGCGGCTGAGGCATAGCCACAGGCTCTACATTCACTCGCCAGACAGCAATGAAATTGGGATTCAGTGTGGAGCAAGATAATTTCCCGCAAATCATTGTTCCCCTGTTTTTTGCATGTCACCAGGTTCTGTGGACCACCGAATTCCAGATTGGAGCTCGGAGTGGTTATTGCAATGTTACATAATGGTGATAATAGGGTGCAATGAGAGCATAGCATTGGTCAAGACATTCCACAATGCCTTTTTGCTGTTAAGATCTTTTAAGTTGCGGTCGTTCCAGGAAGAACTGTAGTAGCCTTTGGGGTGGGAGAGCCTTTGTTGGTGCTTGCGAAGTTTTGTGCAATCCACTGCGCAAGATACCCTGTGACTTGACGCAAAGTCATGGTTGATAGCCTGCTCAACTGGTTCTCAAATGATGGGAGCTGTGAGGTGTTCCTTTGTATTCGTGACTGCACTCTTGATTTGACGTGCTGCGTATTCGTCATAGGTGCAATGGGGAGTATGTCGAGTTTTTCTCTCGACGCCGAACCTGAGCAGAGAGCGCACTACGGCTGAAGGACTTGGAATGATATACCTTTTTGACCATATGGTAGGTAGGGTAGTACAGTAGGTAGGGTGTGACAAGAAAACTCGAAACTGGGAACTCCAACTCGGATGGGGCAGTGATCACTCAGATTGGGACTTGCAGAGAGCGGGGTGAACTCAGAGTTCTGAACGAATTTCCCTCCGACAGTCCCTCCGCCGTGCGGCCGACCTGCGACGGGCTGCGACGGGTGACGATGATCGCCTTGCAGCGTTAAGAAGCCGCGCTATGCTTGACTGCTCTAAGTCGTGGCGTCTGCAGTCAACTTTGTCACACTTTGTTGACAGGGCGCCTGAAAAGGTCAAACACCTTTTTAGTTGTTTTTGTTTGTAATCCGAACCCACATGATTATTCAAGGAACCTGAAGCAGATCAGACACTTTATTCCCAAGGGTGACTTGGGCAGTCATCAGGGCGCTTTTTCGTGCACTCTTGGCTCATTGCTTCCAACACAAACGACTCACTAACATGGAAGTTCTTCCTTTTCCACATTGTTGTGTCGGAACGTAAAGTTGTTCCTCCATCCAAATCAACTTGCGCCGAGAGTTCAAAGATCTGTTCATCTGAGTTCCGCTGAGGGTCAGCTTGGCAAAGACAAGCAGATAGAGCTGCCCCAGAGACCGTAATATGTTACAACATGTTACAAACAATGGATGTTCAATGATGACACGTCTTCCAACGGGAACAATCCCAAAACGTAGGAACAGGGTGTGTTTGACATGTTCCATCTACACTCGATGATAACAGCTGAGGATAGCTGAGGTATTGATATTCAGGCGCTTGTCACTTGCTGTCCAATAGTCGCCTGTGTGAAGAGATTCCGACGAGAGCTGCAAGAGGTAGAGATCTGGGCGACCTGCCTGAACCATGGCGATGGCCCTTAAGAACGAAAGCGGACATGGAGAATGGAGAACACACTTGTGACCATTACTATATATACATTTACACAGCAGCCAATCCATGTCCCTGCTGCTAAAGATGGTAAGGAGCACCGAGATCTACACCAACGATACCAATGACTGAATACAAACTGGTTTGATTTTCATGCAGCTATTGTACGTGGGATTTCATGTGTTGTGTGTCACCTCACGTTGGCATGTGCAGCATGGCCGGGTCAACGATCACAGCGGCAAGGCTCAGTGCCCTGCAGAGGTTCAAGCATCATTGAGGAAGCATGTGATGAATTTGAGAGGTTCGTTGGGAAAGAGGTAGAAGATCTTCAAAGCAAGGGAACCCGGTCAATGCTCTTCAATCAAATTTGACATGAATTGACCTTTTGCATCCTGGAAAACACTCTGACACTCTGAACCAGAACAGCAACTTGAAAAGTTCTCATCTGGAGCATGAAATGGAACTTCTTTTGGATCCCTTAATCGAAACCTGAACGGATCAAGGTCGGATTCACTCCCAGTCTTTTGGGGCCCCTGAATCACGTTGTGTCCGCCAAGCATGGCGGCCAAGAAGCAGAAGCTGGAGAATGGAAGCGCAGGCGAGGTATGGGGAGCTCGATCAGATGGACGAAGGAACACTTCAATCAGTTGGATCAGTGAGGACAATGGCAAAAGACTTGGTAGTAGTTGTTGTATAGGATTGTTATAAAGACAATGACAATGGATCAATGGATTGCTAGTAGTTGTTATACGTTTCTTTTGACCCAGACGACCCATGTATCATGTAACTAAATATGACCTACATTCACCACCCAAAAACCACCGGCCATAGGACTGCGCCACCATGGATCATTTGGGTTATGCTGGGTCACGTGTGTGTTTTCCCTGAGGAAGTTTACTTTTCCACCAGAAGTGAAAGACTGTGTGTTTCCATGACATACGATGTACGACCTGACGCCTTTTTTTCCGACTGACCTACATCGAATCAGCCACCGACATCACATCATCGCAATTTTGCCAACAACAAACATCTCATGGCAAAGACGACTCAAAAAACATCTCCTGCTCCTGGACCCACAAGGGGCTGGTTGATGGACACCCCTTGACCTCGAAAAGGGGGCTATGAATGGACACCCGGAATCCGTGGTGCTGGCTTATACCAATCCCTCTCAAACCTTCCACCCGGCTTGGCCGGCTCTTCAGCCCGGCCGACCCGTCCAGGCCGCCCGCCGATGGTCACCGGAGGGACCGAGACTTGGCGGAGTCAGTGGAGCGGTGGCGGCGTCAGTGCCAAAGGAGCTCCGAAGTCTTGGAGTGCACTGGCAAGAGTTGGAACCTCAATCCCCAGGTGTCTGGAGTTGGAACCTTTTTTTCAGTCTTTGGAGTCTCTTCCAGTTCCAACTCTTCCAGTTCCAACTCTTCCAGTCTCTTTTTCAGTGCCTAAGTTCCAACTCTTCCAGTCTTTGGAGTTGGAACCTACCTCAATCCCCCACCTCAGTGCTCAGCTGTGGACGACGTGGGTGACGGCATGCATGGGTCGGGTCTGGGGAAAGCACACGGCAAGGGAAGAAGAACACATATACACGCTTCTTTAGTTCGTGACCTCTTTGGAGTGCCTGCCTAAGAGACCTTTTGTTTGTCGGCCCTCGGCCCTTTGGTGACCTCTAACAGGGACATCAAGTTAGGTCACTTTGAAGAACCAGGTGGTTGCAGGGTTACTACAGTTTTGAATTGGGGGAGGGTCACTCTTAATCCTCCCCCTGTCTTTTGACAGCCTTCGTTTTGGAATCCTTTTCGGACCCCTCAAGCTGTTGGCTCAAGCTGACTCCTCTTGCTTCTGACATCTGAAGGATGCAGGTTACGGCTTTGTCCGGCGCCACCGTTGCGCAGCTGGATGAGGATGAGTTGCGTGGCATGGAGGAAAGTGGGAAATCCATTCGGGATCTAAAGAAGCTCCTTTCAGCTCAGCTTGGGTGCTCCAGGTTTCAGCAAAGACTCTTGAGTGACGAACTTGGAGAACTGCAGGACGACATGCCCTTAAGACCACTGCCTAGTGTGCGGCTGGCCATCCTGCCTCTATGCGCCTATGATGAGATCATGGAGGAAGAACTGCTTCGCCGCTGTGAGGGCAATGAGGTGGGTGAGGTTGAACGATTGCTTCAAAGACCTCAAGATCCAAACCGGCGAGGATTGTTCCTTGCAGCCGCGAATGGCCACTTGGACGTCGTGCGCTTGCTGCTGGAGGCTGGAGCTGACAAGGATGTAGCAAATGCAAATGGGGCAACGGCTTTGATCATTGCAGCTGAGAGCGGCCACTTGGAAGTTGTGCGATTTCTCCTTGAGGCTGGAGCCAGCAAAGATGTAACAAACATGAATGTGGCAACAGCATTGATCATTGCAGCTGAGAGCAGCCACTTTGAAGTTGTACAGTTGTTGCTCGACGCTGGAGCTGACAAAGAGGTAGCAAACACAAATGGGGCTACGGCTTTGATGATTGGAGCTGAGAGCGGCCACTTGGAAGTTGTGCGATCGTTGCTCGAAGCTGGAGCTAACAAAGATACAACAAATACTGTGGGGGCAACTGCTTTGATAATGGCAGCTGAGAGTGGCCACTTGGAAGTTGTGCGACTGTTGCTGGAGGCAGGAGCTGACAAAGATGTAGCAAACACATATGGCGCAACGGCTTTGATGATTGCA